TGGTATCAGCAGAAACCTGGAGAAGCTCCTAAACTCCTCATATATCAAATATCAAACCTCCAGTCAGGAACTCCATCTAGATTCAGTGGCAGTGGATCTAACAGTGATTTCACTCTGACCATCAGTGGAGTCCAGACTGAAGATACAGGAGATTATTACTGTATGAGTTTACATGTGATCAACAGTAAATATGTGTTCACACAGTGATAAAGAGTCGTACAAAAACCTCCGTCAGTCAGAGTCACAGTGACTGCACTGATACAGCTGAGAGACACTGCAGCTGCTCTACAACACAATCACACACAACACTGATCAACACAAACACTAATAACACAATATCATTATTATTAATAGAAATATTGTATTTCTGAAAATAATTAGTCAGTGTTTCAATGTGATCATCATATTTAGGTGTAATATATGATTCCTGTCAATCAAACTGAACAGATTCAGTCTCTTCTGCTGTCTGGACGTGATGCTTTACATTCGACCCACAGAAAGATTTACAATCTTACACAGTTACTGTCAGAACGATTGATTCTGTATTTACGATCATAGATTTTTATGATTTTACTGACATTTTCATATACATTATCCCTTTGAAATGTATTGGGTTTGTCTGTGTGCTCCCAGGTGGAAAAGACAAACTATTAAATTGATTAAAAATATAATTAAAGTACATTTGTACATTTGTATCCACAACATGCTTATTTGAAGTGCATTAAAATAGATTAAACTGCATTTTAATATTTTTCTAAAAAAGCATTGCTAATAAATATATGCTTAGTTGAGCTTTTAAGTCATATTCTTAACACAAGCATACTTTAAGTGAAGTTTTAGTGTATTTTGTAAAACTAATTTTAATCTTACTCTTACCTAAAGTATATTTTATGTGTACTTTGTGTAAGAAGATAGCAAAATGATTCAGGTTTTATAGGGTTTAATGAAAAAGTACATTATAGCAATGTGTAGGCCCGCTGCAATATGTTTTAAATATTTCCATAATGAGCATGTGCTTCAATCTGCTTTTCAAAAGTAAGATATTTTGAAAAACGTGTTTTATATAGATCACATTAATTCACTACTGCATAAATACATTATAGCTATACGTGCCATTCTGTAACGGGGCTGACAAGACGTGAGACATGCAGATCCATGTGCAAGCTTTATTAAAGCAGAGAGGTCAGAAACACAGGCAGGGTCGAACAAGGGCAAACAGGAATATGGCGGGCAAGACACAAGAATAATCCTAGGGCTAGCGAAGGTCAACGAACGGCGAA